CGTGAATTTGTGGGTAAAATGTGATGTAAGATTTGATACTGAAACCATTGGAATTTGATGGCATTGGTGCATTTGAAAGGCACTAGGTTATAGCTAGCACGTTGTCTTTCACCTATGTCATGACCAAATAAGTGTTCCCATTTCGCGAAATACCAGTTTTATGTATGCATGATCTAAATCTGAAGTTCATACACGACGAGGTATATGCTAGGTCACATTTGGTCTATTGTATATATTGTTGGGGAAGTCTTCGAGTGAGTGAGGGAGATTGATTTTACGCCGCTTTTAGCCATATTCCAGCAATATCACCGCGGGGGACACCAGGAAGTCTTTGAAACGTTAATTAAAATTATCTAAAGTGTTCACATGTTAACTGAAGCATTTGTTTCCTTTATGAATTTGTAAATGGTCTTTCATATGGGTGTGTGGCTAAAACGCACGGAAAAAGGTCGACGTTACAGTTTTCAAAATTTGTCAGCTAGTGTCGTATACTTGACCTGAATATCTCACTTGTTATAACTTTGTTGTTTTTCTCATTGGCAATAGACTTGACTGACGCGCAGGATGCCCCACTTTCCTTTCTATCCCCCGGTTTGCAATCAGCATGTCCGTCCGTCCGTCCTTCTGTCCTGCGTCCGTTTTCCTCTTCCGGAACTCCAAAGCAGTTGAATATTTCTTGATGAAACTTGCTATACAGATCAGTCTAGTTGTGAACTGATCCCCATTGATGATTTGGGATTTTGAAAACGACTGAACAGCATTATTGTTTTCTTCACTAAACTTGGCATGTAGGCAATTACATGTAGGCATGTAGGCTTTTCCAAATTGCGCCAGATCAGGGGAATATCATCTGATGTCATCTGATGACTCTTGTTTTGCTCTAATAGTATGCAGTACGATTTCGCGGTAAACGTTTATTTAGCAATGGTTTAACTAATAATTCCCGTGCATCCCTTACTATCTTGGGAAATATTACATGAACGCAAAGAAACATCGATTGTGCAACAGCACAATATATTGATGTTCAAGAAACATGAATTTTTCTGTAAACATAATCTCAGACTGAAAATGGCTTGGGGTCAATTGTCAGTTCACCCGTGGAGATCCGGGTAGAGAATATAGTCATTCAGTAAACCATGCTTGGCTTAAGAGGCCACTAACGGGATCGGGTGGTCAGGCCCGCTGACTTGGTTGATGTTTGTCATCGTATCCCATTTGCGTAGATCGATGCTCATGATGTCAATCACTGGATTACCTGCTCCATTATTACATACCGCCGTCATATAGTTGGAATATTGTTGAGTGCGACGTTAAACAACAAACAAACAAACAATTGTCAGTCCACAAATCAGTATCGGGTATGACCACCATTAGCAGTGATACAAACTCTACAACGGCGCCTCATTGTCGACACATGTTGGTTAAGGAAGTCTTGTGGGATGCCATTTCAGATCTGGCCTGAGGCCTGTGGCAGTTGGACCAACGTCACCGGTTTGGATTTGAAGTCGGCGTAAACGACGAATAGATTGTTGGGATGTCTCTGATGTCATGTGACCACACGTGCAACGAGTGGGCGTACTTTGTTGTGCTGTAAATTTATGCGACGCCAACTGGTCTGAACGAACGGGAAAACGGATAACTTCGTCACGGTGCCGTACACCTGTTAGACTGCCATCGATGACCACTAAATGGGTCCTGTGAAGCATGCTTCCCCATTTCGCCCCCAACGCCGAATACAGAAGGTGTAACAACACACGCGTGAGCGTAACATTCCATCCGAAGTCGCTACACACGTTGATGGCCACACGATGGGGGCACGGGTGGCCCAGTCGTCTAAGCCGCCGCGATTCGCTGTGCAGAGTTGCGTCCCTTGGGCACGCCAGAAACCTATGATTGTGGTTTCGAGTCCCGGTTCGCCCCAATTATGTTTTTAGGTTTGTCAGCACCATACCCGTGCTCGTGGGTTTCACCGAAGTGGTAAACGTCTGAGACCTGCATCACTTCGGGCTTTCCTCCCACATTAAGCTGACACGCTGTGATATAACTGGAATACTGTTAAAAGTTAAACCCAACTCACTCATTCACTCACTGCTGTCCTGATGAACCCTGGAATCATCTGCGAAGAGGCAGTTGTCTTGACCAGGCGATGCAGCTCGATGACGTGGCACCAAAAATGGACGTACAGCAGAAAATCGAGGTCGGATGTTATGTTCTCGTACTTGATTCCTGCAGTCCTTGCACTGAGCCAAGAATGCTAACGAGCACTACGATCTTATTTTCACGAGACTGGTCCAAAAACGTTCTTTTCTGACCCTTAATTTGCTTCGTTGGCCATTCTGTTTAAATTACGATTAAGAAAAGCTAATTTTATCGATCACATGTGATTTAACGTTTCATTACAATTCCAAGGTTTTGATAATAATAGCTTTATAGTAAATATACAGTGAAGTCGAGATATTGTTTTCCCAGGGGCGGTTCTCTGAATGAAACATTCCCTGCCCCGCCCTGTTTCACTTAACTCTTTACATGTGGAATTGATTTATTTCCTAGTTCGAGACAATGCATTGATCCAGCCGAAGGGCTGAGTTCAGTAATCATTTAATGGATGGAAGTGATGCATTGTTGTAATCGAATCTAGATCTCGAGGAAATCAATAACTGGGTCGATATTACCCGGCATGTGCCTGGAAGCAAAGGAAAGGCAAAGGATGTCTGTCGTCATTACCCTTATTGGAAAATTATTCCAGCGATATATAGTTACATGGCTGGCGATATTTAACGCCGTACATTACGCTTGATAAATAAACTGTGGGGGAGTCTTAAGTAGGTCTTCCAGTGTTATGTCTTCATTTCCTGCACTAGCATGTTCACAACCTTACTGTCCTAGTGTCGCGTGAACGTGCTGATGTAGTACTTTACCAGTGACAAATCCTCACAAAACAACATTTAACATCAGGAAATATCGATAATGATGAAAGTACATTTAACCCCATCCGCATCTTAAAAAAAACATTTATCTATCTGCATTAAAAACAAATACACCCGAAAGATTTAACATTTAACTTTACCAAAGTACATAATATGTATTGTCATGCCTTTTTATTAATAACATACTTTCCGTTTGAATGGAAGACGCATTGTCTTATATATGAACATATTAGGATACTGCTGTCGTCCATAAGTTTGTTCGAATTTCGCTAGTAACATACACGGTAACCGTGAGTTCACGTCGCGTGCAGTCCGCAATATCCAAGCAATATCACGGCGACCTGCATATCATCGAGTGTGGACCAGATAAACCAGATCCTGCTGAACATGAGGGCACGCCAGCCACACCATCGGGGCATAAGCACACCAATCAACAACGCCACAGAGCCTGATCACCAATCCTTATGTACAGTAAACTACGGGTATAACGAACTCAAAGGACTACTAATTTTAGTTCGTTATAACCGTAGTTCGTTATAAGCATATATACAGCATAACTACAGCAAATAGTCGGGACCAAACCAAAAAGTAAGTTCGTTATATCCGTCAGTTCGTTACAAGCTTGTTCGTTATAACCGTAGTTTACTGTATACTAGTGGTTGCCTGTCACATGCAGTCGTATATCGGCCGGTGGGGACCTATGTGTACCCAGAGGCCTGCACAGCAACCAATGCTTGCCGTAAAAGGCGACTATCCTTGTCGTAGGCGGTCGAGTAGCCTTGTGGTTAAAGCGTTCGCTCATCACGCCGAAGACCAAAGTTCGAATCCCGACATGGGTACAATGTGTGAAGCCCATTTCTGGTGTCCCCTGTCGTGATATTACTGGAATATTGCCAAAACCAAACTCATCATCATCACTATCCTTGTCGTAAGAGGCGACTAATGGGATCGGGTGGTCAGGCTCGCTGACTTGGTTGATGCATGTCATCGTATCCCAAATGCGTAGATCGATGCTCGTGATGTCGCTGATCCAGACTCGATTATTTGCAGACCGCCGTCATATAGGTGGAATATTGCCGTTAAACAACAACCAAATACCAAACAGTTGCCTGCGCGGTTCGCATTCGATGTATCTATATTCTACGCTTTCACTTGAGTTGTCGATGGCATTTTGGTGAAGTATAAATTAACAGCAAATGAAAATATTCTGAAAACAAATATAGAACTTGTTGTGGCCTTACTGCATGACGTAACTCACGTGCAATGTTCAAATATATCACGTACATGGAACCATATGTCACACGCGGGACGAGAAAATGAATCGCCTGCAGCAACCTGTGATGTTTATTTGACAACCGTTAAGAGGTAAGAGCGAGTTGCATGGTAAACATTGCTAGAGAGTACTAATCGATAAATGTTGTCACGGGTAACATCAATCAACGACAATCGATTCATTTTGTCTTTCATTTCACAATGCAAGCGTTTTATCTTTCATTTCACGATGCATAAAGTAAACTATATTCCAGTCCCGTGATGCATATTTATCCATCCAAAAAGCAAGAAAGGTTTTATAAAAAGTTTATTTACAGAGAATTGTATTTTCAAATATACAAACATTATCAGGTTCTTTTAGCGTCCTTTGAGTTCAAGTAAAATAGCAAATTTACAAGACTGTACATGCTCTGAGAGACACACAAAGAAAACGAAACGGCTCGATTGGTATGGAGTGCATATACATGTATGTCAGTAATGAGAGATTCGGTGACTCAAACAGAACGTCGCTATGTAGCTATATAAACATTCATCATTACAAGGCATGCTCATGTACAAACTCTCGACTTACGATCATATAGAACATTTTTCATAAATGCGTATTGTCGAATGACCATTCGTTAGAACTCGTCTTCTTTCTTAGCTTTTACGGGGGCACAGGTGGCCAAGTCGTCTAAGGCGCCGCTATTCGCTGTGCAGAGTTGCGTCCCTTGAGCACGCCAGAAACCTATGATTGGGGGTTCGAATCCCTGTTCGCCCCGATTATGTTTCTAGGTTTGTCAGCACCATACCCATGCTCGTGGGTTTCAGCGAAGTGGTTAACGCCTGAGACCCGCATCACTCAGGGCTTTCCTCCCACATTAAGCTGACACGACGTGATATAACTGAAATACTGTTAAAAGCGGCGTTAAACCCAACTCACTCAAAATCTTAGCTTTTACAAAGATGAGTGGCCACGAATTGTAAAAGTAACTTTGTTTCGGAATCACGAATGCCATCCGGACAAAATGGCATCTTCGTAGTTCGCCGACAAGAGCGACAGCCTGATTCCCTGGGTAGCGCCAGTGAACCATGCTGCAAGGGTGAGTGGTAACGAATGGCATTTGTTTCTTCTTTGCTGCGGACAACCGGAAGTAGTTGTCGACACATCCGTCGCTTTCACAAAATTACAGCAATTTCCAAACACGTCTTAAGTGTGACCTAATTTTTTCTAGCTGGAACCAGCTAGCAAATTTGTAAATAATTTTACAATTTACATAAAGAATGTGTTGGGATGCGAACTTTTTTAAAAACATAATCACATGATACTGACCCAGCACAAGTTTAAATATTCATTTTCAGTTATGAAGTATGCACAGCAAAATAAGAATAAATGATACTGATTTTGAAATATTTAAAAAAAGTATGAAATATGAACCCCCACACTAACTGGACCAATCGTTAAATAGATAAGCGGAATTATAAAGCTTCATTGTTATATCGTACTTGGGGATATTAAATGTTCAGCCATTCTCACAATGTGCATTATATACAATAAACACGGTAATAATGCTAAGATGTTTTTGAGGGATTTACACACTACCAAAGGATTGATAAATAAGCAGACTTTGAAATGCATACTGAAACACTTTAGAAACGGGACACTTTCCTTTATAATTATATTTGTAAACAAGGCAAATTTCCTGCTTCCCTTCCGTTGGTTCAGCATTCGAATGAGACTCATACCTACCATTCTTTTGTGACCTACCTACCATTTACATATTTGAGTGAATCACAAAAAGCAGTTACAACCTTCTAACATATTGAAACACTTCAAAATGGAATTAAAATATTTGAAGTTGGTGTTGCGTTTCTAAAATGTTTCAGTATATATTCACCCTCTTATAGAACTATGTTTATATACTTCCGAGACGGCAACGTGCTGGTTTCCCGTTTAACATAGGAAGTTAACAAAGATTTACAATAGGAAACGCCTACTTACTAACTAATATTTTATACTGTTTTTAATTCCGGCATATGTGTTGACCTGTACATAAAACATTATATCACAGCACAGAAATTCCCCCTGAGCGAGTTATCACAATTCAAACAAATACATGACCACACTTGGTGTGGCCTTATCTACAGACAGTGTTCTATTTGTGTTTCATTTACAATTTCATTTATAGATGATTCTAAATTGTGTTGTATAATTTAATATATTTATATATTCAACATGACATTTAAATACCAATGAAATGGGACTGCAGCCAATGATGCGTTAAGAAAATATGACCCTAAAATTAAACAGGCCATGAATAATAAAATCGTGTAAAATATGCTTTTTCATAATTCGTTTTCATTTCGTCTGCCCATCTTTTACATTTCTAACGACCGCAAAGTCTCTATAATGTAAAGCTCTAAAAGGCACATTCACACTTATTCACTGACACCACCAGCAATATTGTGACGTCACAATGCAGTGTTAGAGCACGTGCAATTCCCAAGCTCCTAACTGCATCCACATCTCGTGTTGAAGAATGTGTCACCCGTTGCAACGGAGGCCTCTTAATTACATAGAGAGGAATTCTGAAAGTTATTTATTCCACTGAATAATTATTGGACGACACCCGTGCTGGGAGTGCCTTGTTGATTGATACGTTTCAAGATTTTCGCTGACATCTTATTTGGGGATTGTTTTCCCACCGAAACAAATATTATTAAGACTTGCACATTTGAACTGGAATTTTTAAGTTGAATCAAATAGCATGTGCAGAACACATGAGTCACGATGTGAAAATTCCCAGCGTCATCAATAAGATACCATGGTCGGCGACCATTCTTATGGCTTACATTTGTTTGTAGATGGTAAAGAAATTGACTGTTCAAGAACACTACTCAATTTACAAAGGACATTAAAAAGTCATGATTTACTTGTGCTATATGCCCATGGACAAATACTGTTACAAAGACCACGTTGTGGCATTGCCAGGGGAACCACGGTAAATACTCGCATGGTATTGACCCCATGTATGTACACGGTCGATCAATGCAGTGACGCTGCTGACACAATTCAGGGAACCTAGGCAACGCCGAGTCAACCTCGGTCAATACTTAACATCCCTGTTTGGCATTTTAAGATAAAAAAATACAAACATAAAACTTCGTATGAGAGTCTAATAATAAATATCGGATCCGAGAGACCACCAATGGTAGTACCTACCTGTCTGATCGCTAATGTATAAATCTAAATACGAAGCGCGGATCATAAGTCGTACAGGTGTTGAACCAATCTCATCCATCTACAATATGGTTGTATTGTGGCGATACGATTCTAATCTCGATAATTGGGTGGTAACACCTTAAGTCTAGCATACATGAATACTCCTTGACTGCCATGTTAAAGAACCGTATGCCATATATTCAGTGCACTCTAGTCAGTGTAAGCTAACAATGACACTGACATGAAACACGGTACGCATCCGTTAGCAAATAGAAGTGTCGACGCGAGTCGATTTATGGGATACATGATATCACGATATGAGACCCGTATCGTAGCATAAATCATCGACTTTTTCCAAAAATTGAAATTAATACTTTTTCAGCAAAGTGAAACTGTAATATAATGTTGCATAAAACAACACCGACGGAAAGCGTTACAGTCTAGTGTTATATTAGTGTGTTTTTTTCAAATATCATAACGTGAAATACCCATAGACTGTAAGATGAATAAGGCACCGAGACGTAGTCCATTATTCCACTGAATGACTTACTGTTTAATAAATCCGACATACGTTTAATCAATTCGTCAAATATTGCTTCAAATATCCTAAGCAAATAAATGTTTAATTATTGTTTCAGCAAAGCATATAATATTTCGAAAGTTTGCAAATCATAGTTCTTTGTTGCTTTGAGAGTACAACAGTATTCCACTGAATAGTTCATCATTTCAAAGTATGTATCCGCAATCCGATCTATGTCGAAATGCTGCTCCTTCTTGTAAGAAATATGGCGGCTCCAGCGGCCATGACGATGAAAGATATAGAGGCTTTGATGACGTCACATCCACACCTGGCTGGTCGCATCTTGTGCAGGATGATGTCCACGACGTTTTTGGTTGTGGCGCTGCATCCGTCCAGGTTACTCATGTAACACCTTTCCAGTTCGTCCATCATACTAAAAATACAAAAATTAAAACTGAATACATGACCACATACTTATGCTTAAACGAGAGGCACCCAACTTGACTTTTTCTCCTATCACTATTTCACTTATTCTCAGTTTTCTCCTCCACAATATATACACATGCACAAAAGTTAAGCGCCACCCACCATATTTGTGAGCTGTTACTTTTGGCACTTAATGATGACTATTATAACGAGATGTACGATTGTTATAAGCCGTATATGTAAACCTCATGTGATGCAAAAGTTGTCCCAAAGCAAGTTTGTCTTGTGTTCCAAAAGAATATGAGCAGAAAGGAATTTTACCGAAGACCAGAAATTGAAGGATTAGAAAACATTGAAAAACTTTTTTTGTCATGTAACTGTCATGAGATAAGCAGACCATATCAGGTGTCACATAGACACCCTAGGGAGTGCAGAGTCTATTGCAAGACAGAAACGTCAGTAACGTGTGTATGATCCACGGACATTGACCACAGCTTCAACCCTACGCCTCATACTCATTACAAGTCGTTGAATGTTTCTCTGAGGCAAACGGATCCATTCTTCATGAAGTGCGGCGTCAAGTCCAGCGAGATTTTGAACTTGGGGATCACGGTGTCTGATTTTCCGGCCAAGAATGTCCCAGAGATGCTCAATCGGATTAAGATCCGGACTAGAGGCCGGCCAAGGAAGAGTGGCAATAGCTTCTTGACGCAAATAAGCCAAAACTGCCCGAGATCTGTGTTGTCTAGCATTGTCGTCCATGTAAACAGGTCTTGTCTGAAGAGGATGGTTGTCAAAATGAGGGACTACCACTGGACGAAGAACGGCACCTTGGTATTGTTGGCCATTCAGGTTTCCACGAATTGTCACCAGCGGAAGTTTGCAGCGGAAGGAAACACAACCCCATATCATGCCAGACCCCCGCCACATGCTAAGGTCTTCTGGATGTTCCTTGGTCCAAAACGAGTGTTACATTGCCTCCAAACACGTATTCGACCATCAACAGTTCGTAGCAGCATTCGACACTCGTCAGTCCAATGGATCCTTCTCCAGTTGGCCAAGTTCCATCGACTACGGGCACGACACCATATCAGACGATTTCGCATGTGCCTCTCAGTCAGTTGAGGACGTTTTACTGGTCTTCAGGCGTTATAACCAGCCGCTCTGAGGCGACGCCTTACGGTCTTCGTCGAGAGTCTCTGATGGGTAATCCACTGCAGTCTTAAATCTGTTGAAGTGGCAAATGGATTTCGTCTGACTATCCTGAAAAGACGTCTATCCTCTCTGTTAGAGGTCTTTCTTGGCCTACTAGACCTATGCCTGTCATTGACATCATTGGTTTGACCATGTTTGACAATCAAACGAGTGATAACACTGTGATGACTTGCAATGGCCCTGCATGACATGCCAGCATTTTTCATGCCTATCACTTGCCTTCTTTCAGCGTTAGTTAACTTTCTCCTCACCATGGCTGATTTTCAACCTCTATTGGAAGGGGAATCTCACACGGGAGCAAAATGCAACCACGTGTCTGAAACTTGAATTTCACTATTTATAGGGTAGGGGAACTCCAGTATACGTAAAGCACGCTTTCCTTGTGGTATCTGGACAAATTTGGGTTCATGAAACTATGGAAGCTTAATTCAGTCATACATCATCATATTTCGTATTTCTGATTCCCACACGTGAAATCAAGAGACTATGAATATGGTGGCGCTTAACTTTTGTGCATGTGTATATCAGTTAATAGTTGAATTGTTTGCATTACTAAGAAGTTGACGGATGACAAAGTAGACACAATGTATGGATAACAACTTCTTTAATTCTCTAAAGACGACGTTTCGACAACGGTATAAGGATCTATACCGAAACGTCGCCTTTACAGTATTAAAGAAATTGTTATCCATAAATCGTGTCTACTTTGTCAGCTAATAGTTATTTTGCGCAGTAAGCAATGTATCGGTTTTACCACGGTGGCCTGTGAGTGGTCGAGGCGGACCAATCAAACCAGTTGTAGCAAGAGCAACGACCCAGGCCATGGCGATTCGATAACACTATCATCGACATGTTATTGTAACCTACAAATACAAACTTTTAAAGTCTTTAGTTTAGATGCTGTGACAAACTAGTCGCATGTGACCACTTCTGTCATGGAGTCCCGATGGTGACGTAATTGGCTTTGGATAAGTATATATCATCGACATTATATATTTCAATAGCAAAAGCTGCACGATATGAGTGTTTGGTAACCTAGCCTCACCTTTCAACTTGAACTTTAACTCGCACAATGGAAACAAAAACATTGCCAGAACCAAAATCCAAGAAACAAGGCCTATGTGAGAATTATTCTTATAAAAACAACAGGTATAAACTTACTCGCACTTGACGTCTGCTGTGGCGGAAGTGATGGTGGAAATGGCGGTGTTGTAGCAGGTCTCTATGGCAGCTTTGTTGGTTGTGACGCACGTTCCAATCACGCCTGGAAGACAGAAGGCGTTGTTTGTTCACAATTACAACATTCAAGGCATCAGTAAAGCTTTCAAAAGCGTCTGTAGTATACGGAGGACATCTCCAAATTGGATGCATCAGTGACCAAAATGATGTCCATGCAATTCCCTGTTTTTATTTGTGCCCGTGTCTTTTTAGGTGAACAATTTACTTGCCTTTCCATGCGTTTGTGACGGGTGCTACCTATTGGGCAGGATACCTAGTATTACCACTATTTGATAGTGATTCATAAACACATGCTTATTATATAGTCACAATCAATGGATTCTGCTTAAATTGGAGATTTCATGTTTTTGTCGTTTAAATTTACGATGCTTTATTCCTTCCGGGCATCAGGATAACATAGATCTTTATTTCATTAATAAAAGCAATCCCAGGCCAACGAGTATCTTTCGTGGTGAAAAGAAACAAAAATTACTCTACGTGCCAAAGTGAGAATGCGACCTGCGCCAAGATTACATACGACACAAGGAACACAGTTACGAGGTTCTACTTTCTTGACCTTGACCCCTAGGTAAAAGGTCATTGCTTTTGTGGTAACTACCTTGCATGCCCTGGAACTATGACGACCAGAAGGGGAGACATCGACAGGGTCTAGCAGACAGATAGACAATTCCAGAAAAAAGATAGCCATGGTGTAGTAGACAGATAGATAAGGTCTAGACGAAAGATTGAAACGTCTAGTAGACGCATAGGCAAGGTCTACCAGACAGACGGACATGGTCTAGTAGACGGACATAAAGGGTCAAGTAGACGGATGTTCAGGATGTCGTGGACACGCTGACAAGGTCCAGCAGACGGACAGACAGAAGGTGGTGTAGTTCAACTCACTGCCTCGCTGGTGCTCCTGGCAGACGAACTGGTAGACCGTGGGGATGACGTTGATGCTGAGCACGAGATCCTGGTTCTTGGAGCCGATGCACTGCCTCTCCGCCGAGATCTTACACGTGAAGAAGTTCAGGAAGGACTCTTTGCTGGTGTCTCTGAGGACATGAAACATGCAACATTTGATCCCCGGAACAGATATAGTCACAGGTGCATGCATATGTTTGATACAAAGGTATATGTTTCCTATGGTATGGTTCTGGCACAGTCGATGCAATGATTTCGTTTCATGTGTGTGAACCAAATTTTAAGTTTAGAGGGAAAAGGTAGGTCATCCAAGTCACGACAAAACTCCACGATGGAGGATGGGGAGTGTCGAACCTTGCAAAAGTACTTGGCGATACTAACCAATGGCATGCATTTGGGCCGTGTCCTTTTCTGCCGTAAACTCATGGTCAGATATGCTAATCAATGGCAACGACTTTCATGAAAAAAAACCCCCAAAAGCAAGTTAGCCTCCAAAATATTGACAAAGATAAAAACAAAGCCAGAACCTTGGCGCAAGGATGTTCTCGTTGAACCAATATCTTTCCTTCCGATCAACGAATCTATGTCACTGGCTACAAGCATGTACTTACAAACACACTCGGTCCATATCCGCCGTTACCCACGATTTAGGGTCGACCGCCGCTTCGAAGTTGGCGTGGTAGTTGTGGGAGCCGTCGCAAGAGGCCATCTGTGACGCGGAGGGGCAGGTCGTGGTCGGGTGTGAGTAGCCCCCTAAAGTACAAGAGAACCAGTCAGTGATCAATGGACCCTGTGTGAGGATGTAATTCCTCAAAATAAGTGGGATGTCAGATTGGAGGAAGGGTGATGCGGGTGTATTTGTTCAACACCCGGGTGAGAATGCCCCTCACCCAATCCTCGTGTATGAAGTTTCTTTTCTTTGGTTGGTTGGTTGGTTTGTTGTTTTACGCCACACTCAGCAATATTCCAGCTATATGACGGCGGTCTGTAAATAATCCAGTCTGGACCAGACAATCCAGTGATTAATATCACGAGCATCGATCCACGCAATTGGGACCGATGACATGCATCAACCACGTCAGCGAGCCTGACCACCCGATCCCGTTAGTCGCCTTTGACGACAAGCATAGTCACCTTTTACGGCAAGCATGGGTTGCTGAAGACCTATTCTACCCCGGATCTTCACGGGTCTTCTATTCTTTGGAGATACGTGAGTTATCCCTTGACATTTTGTTGGGGGTTTGTAAGATCTAACCTGCAATTAACTTTTATCTGAATCAAATATATGATAACGCCACCCTTTTTGTTTTTTATATGTATACTAGTAGATACTTATATGTAACTGACTCAGCAAACTTTAAAAATGATTTTTGTAGACATAAACGTACACATTTTACATGCTATTTGCACTTCGCAATCACTTTTTCCACTTAAATCAGGTCAAAAATGGATAACAAAATAAACCTAGGTTCAATAAACTGTAGTGGTTTGGCAGTATAAAAGAAAAGAAATCAGGAAGATCTGACGGAAAAAAAATCAATATAATTTGTCTGCAAGATATTCACATCTCGAAATTGAAGATATAATGAGAAATAATTAGGGGCTGCAGAGTCTATATAAATCAAATGCACGAGGAATTGCCATTCAATTCCACAATATGTTTTGAAAATACAAATCCACACCACTAAATTTGATGAATTTGGTTGGTTGGTTGGTTTGTTGTTTAACGCCGCACTCAGCAATATTTATGGAAACTAAATCAGGACCGATACAATTACTGAAGGATTAAGACTTTGTAATATATATGGATCTAATAGTGATGGTCCAATGTTCTATAATTCCTTATGTATAAAGTAATAATTCTACGTGCAATACAAAATGGCCAGTTGTCATCTTCGTTTTGTAACGAAAGGGGCTATATACAGGGTGACCTAGACTAACATCTAGTCTCTGAAATGAACTATTTTACAGAAAAAACCCAGTTGTTGAATTATAGTCGTAAAATACAACAAAAAGGAGCCCAGGGACTTTATTCCTGTTACTGCAGTAATCTAGACTTGCCAAATATTATAGACTTACATGAGCTGTATTGGATATGTTTGTTTCAGGGTCTGTATGACAGACTAAGGGTTGCTCTATCTTTTAATCGTGAAATACCTAGGATTATGATAAGAAACAATAAAGATCTTAAGGAGATAGAGCTAAAAGCAAAGAATGTATATTAGGACAACATGCAGATGACATACTTCTTTTCTTGAATGGAACAGACGAGCATCTTAGAGCCTCTATTTCATAACTCAGTTAATTTCCATAAATTATCAGGACTAAAGATGAAGTTGGCTAAAATAAAGGCTGTTTGGATTGGTTCCATGTCCATGTCATACAAAACTGTGATTCCACTTTGACTGGCATTCAGAAGACTTTGAAGTATTAGGAATCGAACTTCACACGTCTGAAAGTCCTTTGGGTAATACCAGGAAAAGACCTCAGCTGGTTCAAATTACATCTTTTCAGTATCTTTTATTTTTTCCTTTCTAAACATGTCTTAAGGGAGTTATTTCTTGTTCGCGACCACCTCCATGATCTAGTGGTAGAGCACCCGCCCGGAGAGCGGAAGGTTCGGGGTTCGATCCCCGGCTGCGTCATACCAAAAGATGCTGAAGATGGTACTTGTTGTTACCCTGCCAGCGCTCGGCATTAAGGGACTGGTCGGTTCGGAGTCAGTATACTGTGTCTGAGTGGGGTATCCATGTTAAACTGCGGCATGGTATCTCAGTGGGCTAGCGTTAATAATCGGCATTAGTCCGGACTAGGACACACACACACGCACGCACGCACACGCACACACACAAACACACACACACACACACACACACACACGTGAACGCACCGTTAAACTCACCAACTTCACCACCTCACCTTTATTGCTAGCCTCAACACATCGTTATCATGAATTGTATTATCAAACGTCCATGTTTCAGGAACAAATATGTATAGTTTCTTTAAGACCCTGTCCAGGGAGGTTATTCTGGGGAGGATCACAAACAATTTACGAAGAAAAAGATTCCACTAGGCGTAAAAGCCAACATAGCTGTTACAGTTACCGGTACATTAAAACATTGTTTGCGGTATGGCCATTTCAAATACCACGATCATATAGTTCATAATGACACATTCACAATGGCAAACCCCCATTATGTAAACTGAGGGGCAAAAGAAAGTATACCGAGTTTGTCTTTCATGTAAATGAATTGTTGTTAAATTTGATTGTTTATTTAACTCAATCATTCCAGTAACAGTTTGTAAAATGTAATCTGTGGCTGGGTAATTGTGAGTAAAAATAAATTGGTTCAATGAAGCCTGCGCAAGAAATGATTTTGCAACCACTTCTTTGTAATGTTGTAAATTTATGCCGAAAAAGCAAGTTTATTAATTTTCAAAGATAGATGCCTAAGATATCCATCATCTGGGAGGTATTTTTAAAAAAACCCAAAGTTTTAAATCAAATTATATTTTTAACATAAAACAACGTAGAAGTATTATTTGAGTTCGGACTAAGCGCCAGTACAGTTCTTGTTTTTTTGGATATCATATCGCTAACTGGAGATATCTTCAACTGAAAATATCATATATGATATACAGTAAACTACGGTTATAACGAACACGCTTATAACGACCTGACGGATATAACGAACTTACTTTTTGGTCCCGCCTATTTGCTGTAGTTATGCTGTATATATGCTTATAACGAACTACGGTTATAACGAACTAAAATTAGTAGTCCCTTTGAGTTCGTTATAACCGTACTTTACTGTAATCAAGTTAGAGGTATGTTTCTTTTTGCCCCAGAGTTTATAACCTTTAAGTTCCCCTGCTATTATCCTACAACGCTATAAATAATCATACCATTGTTCCATCATGTGACCTAAGTGATAAATCTCGTCAAATATTCATTACACCCATATGTAGAAAATGTAGAAACTGTTCTCTCCACCTACGCCAGGTCATGGCTACAGACTGGAACATCGGTGTGCAATTAATCATTCAACCAACGTGACCGTCACAAAACTGACGTTTGTTTTGATAAACATTGTGGCAGTGACATAGTGATATCGACCACAGTGTAGGCGAGCCAGCCTCTCCTGATAAATGGTTAGTACTACAAGATGTCTTACTAAACGTTACGTATGGATCGATAGAGCCTGGCCACGACTTGTGTGTACAAATGTCGCAATGAAAGCGCGTTGGTGATAACGCCACAGAACTCAATTGATGCGCATTAAGGGCTGTGTAAAACGCATTCCTTGGTCTCAACATGGATTATTAAACATAACCTTTTCAACGGCAGCTTGATATCGATGAAGTTTTTCATGTCAATAAGAGCTACCTTTTAATCTAAATCTGTAAGGATTGTTGAACACAATATTTTAATAAATTAAATAAAGGCAGTTTAACACTTCCAGTGACTGACCAAGGCAGATAACAAACAACAGTCCGCCACTTAATATTGGTAATTAAATACCAGTGTTTAATTGTAGACTGTTTTGGATTCTGGTATCACGGAAAGCCTTTATTAAGGAAGTTGGGCCAATGTGTGTGGAATATTTCATTATTGTTACTTTTAACTTTTATGTTATTCTAATTACGCGTGAATATAGTCATCATTTTGCAACTCTAGCAACAAGGGATGTCAGGCTCCCGTGGGGATTGCGATTTAGAATATGTCCCCAGCAACTTAGGCTGCTCGGTAAGAGGCGGCCAGATGGATGGGGTGGTCAGGCTCGGTGACCTGGTTGATTGTGTATCACCGTACCCCGACGGCGTTGATCGTTGCTCACGATATCAGACACTGGATTGTCTGGTGCAGACACGATTATATACAGGCCGACTCCATATAGCTGGAATATTGCTGAGTGCGGCGTTAGACAACAAACAAACAAACAAACAGGGCGTGTTAAATTCACTATTGGTTTACAACCGACAATAAACTACATAATACGCCTGCCAATGTATTGCTGTTTCTATTCTGTATCGAATTAAAAAAATTATATTTACTTATTTTTTTTAATAACCGGGTTTGATTACACGGGCTTCTGTTTCTGTATGGCATGTCGCGAAAAAGGATAAATGTTTTTAAATAGTTAGTTAAACACAAACTGGTTCCCGCAAAACAACGCAAATAAAGTATCGCGATACACATTGTAACGTGACTCAAGTATCACGATATATATCGAAAAGTGGAGTAATGGCGTGTCATGACACCGCTACTAGTAACTGTATATATTGTTACTTGACTTGAACGGGTTAGAATTGGTCTCTAGCAACCCATGCTTGTCGTAAGAGGCGACTAACGGGATCGGGTGGTCAGGCTCGCTGACATGGTTGATGCATGTCATGGTATCCCAATTGCGTGGATCGATGCTCATGATGTCAATCAATGGATTGTCTGGTCCAGACTAGATTATATACAGACCGCCGTCATATAGCTGGAATATTGCTAAGTTCGTGGTTGTTCGTTCTTATCCGGACTTATATTGGTTTCATAGAGCTAAGCCCACTAAGATACCATTTCCCAGGTTAACATGGATATCCCACATAGCAATGACTCCGAGCCGGCCAATCCTTGTTTTACCCCCTTTGGTGCCGAGCACCAGGCAGGGTAACAACAAGAACCATTTTAACGTCTATTGGTATGACACGGTGAAGGGATCGAACCACAGACCTTCTGCTCTCCGGACAAACGCTGTTGCCACTCCACCATTCACGGAGTCCGTTCTTTGAACATTCGATACTGCGTTGATTGTGTCGTGTTTGCCAATTTCCGCAAACTGAACTTGGACATTCTTTATGGATGAACTGAGAAATTACTGATAAAGTCACAAACGCGAATAATGGAGTTTATTTGTGGAAATAAAAGGTGTCAGTGAAAGAGGCAAGCAGGCATTATCTAGCCGATAACTGATAGGTATTGTACAGTATGTTCCCTCCTCCCGAGAAGTACATGAATTTCACCTTGACCATTTTATGGCTTAAAAACCTTACAACTTGGCAACGGTATATACTCAGTACGTTATGTATGTACTTCTTAGTTCCAGTACCGTTTCTACTTTAAAGGTGCACTTGTTCCTACGGTTAGAGGGACTCTACCGTGACCGTATCGTGCGTAGGCTGCACCACACTTGCTTCATTATTGACTGCAGTGTCATTGAAATAATCTAATTGTCTACTTGTGTATAGCCTTTGCCAAGGCGACGATAAAAACCCAGAACGGGGTATCGAGTGCAATGCGATCAACATGCATGGATCTTATCGTCATGCTCCGTTAGGTTGCTGTATAATTTACTAGGATATATATAGAGAATCTCACCCGAGTGTCTTTTGATATCAAATATATCAACACGAGTTGATAAAAGTGGAAAAATTCCGAGGCTTGCCGAGGATTTTTGCCACTTTTATCAACGAGTGTTGATATATTTGATATCAAAAGACACGAGGGTGAGATTTTATTTATCATCTAACATCATTCTTCCAACTTTTTTAGTTTGTAGACAGTAATAAGCAGTGTCTTAAGTGTAAAAAGTACTGCTAACAGCTTCAGTAGCAGAGCCATTAGTGATGTCATTTGATTGTGACGTCATGGTAACCAATGACGTCACAATGGTCTGCAAAGCATTGTGATGCAATTTCATTGCAGCGATATCTACAGTGTAGATATCGCTTGATCTCACCCAAGCGATATCTCCTGTGGGATCCAGTTTTGGATGATAAATATGGAATATTCTCAGATGATTCATTGACTTTTTGTTTTTTTTGTTTGTTTCCTTGGTTGTTGTTTAACGCTGCACTCAGCTTTATGGCGACGGCCTGTAAATTATCGAGTCGGGACCAAACAAGCAATGATATGTATTAGGAGCAACGATCCACGTCGTCAACCAAGTCTCCTTACGAAACATTACATGCGACCAGCCAATAGGTTGCTGAATGGGACAGATTCGAACACGGAACCCCCCGGGGGCTCATGGACATGTTAGCGCGGGAACGGGCTGCCCAGTTGTCAGAGGCGCCGTAATTCGCTGTGCATAGATGCGCCCTCAGCAATATCAGGATCCGCCGAATTATGGGTTCGAATCCCAGATTATCTATGCTGGTTTTACCAAGTCTACGAACTTTGTCACCGGTGAGTGAGTAGAATTTTACGCCGCTTTTGGCAATATTCCAGGCGGGGGACACCAGAAATGGGCTTCACACTTTGGGGAATGGAACCCGGGCCTTAATCGTGACGAGCGAGGCTACTCCACCCCCACCCTACATTCCCGACCCCACCCCCTATCTGAGAATGAGCTTTCCTCCAGAAGTAAGCCATCCTCGATTGCGCTCGATTCTCTTCATTCTAGAGTAATTCGATTAAAGGCTTTTATTAACGTCGTGTCATTCGAATCAGATTAACGAAAAGGAAGCTGTGGCATCAAGTGGGTCTAGGGTTCATTACAAAGTGTTTGAGTTAAATTACACTATGAAGTATTGTTTTACTCTGCAGTCTGCAATATTCCAGATTTATCACGACAACCTGTAAATAATCGAGCCCGGGCCAGGCAAACCGGTGGTTGATAGCACGAACAACGACCGACACCGTCGGGAAAGATGATTTGACGACGATCCAGTTCACAGGTTGTAACCTGGAGGTATCCATTATAAGTAATTCTCCAGGGGAATTGTAATTTTTGAATTTGAAATTGAAATGTTAATATTTGTTAATATAAATTCTAATATATCTTATAGTTAAGATATATGTTTGCACGAGCATTGTATAAACTGCCGGGCAAAAGAAAGAATATGCACTTGAAAATTGGATTTGACCAAAAAAATGACAAACGTTATCAATACGTTACTAGGCTGAAAATTGTTGCCGAAACACAGTAAACTGATGGTAAAACAACAACTATGATACCCGTATCAAATACATCAACATCGAATAACCAACCACTTGTTGTTCTTTATTTCATTTTTTGGCCACCATCAAATATGAGTCTATACTTTTTTGGCCCAGCAGTTTAGTTTAAATCAACTTATGAAAAAGAATATTGACTTTAATTTCAGGGCCTTTATATTTCTTGTCAAGAATTTGGTACAATATAATATTATTGTGTGTCTCTCGGAGCACACCTTATTTTTTTCTTCGCCCATACCATACATTTGTGCCTGCTGGATTTATGCTTTGCGTAAAATTCTGCTAGTGGTATTGGTGGGGTCACTACGGAAGCCTTTTAGGGCCATTTGTTTTTTTTGTTTTTTTCGATGCTATCTTGAAATTTCAAGACACTAAGTTGAAATTTCAAGATGTAGAAGATGAAATTTCAAGATATAAAAGTTGAAATTTCAAGATATAGAAGTTGAAATTTCAAGATCACCGAAACTCTTAATTTAATTTAATTAATCACTCACTAATGATACGTAGGGTTGTATACAATTTATCAGGGTTACCGATATCGATATTTGTAAAGATACACAAATGAAATAATTCCTTATGTTAAATTTGCTTACTGATTCAGAAAAAGACAACGTGCCATCCTATTGTGTACAACATTTTAAGAATTGGTGAATAAGCTTACATACTAGTACCAGTATATAAATCAGAGAAACGCAGTTCACAGCAACCTTATTTACTCCACGTTGGCAGTCTCTGTACATATTTAAAAATGTTGAAGTATTAAGAATAGATGGAATGTTAAACTTAGATTAAAATAAAATAATATATTTTTTTCAACAAAAAGGATCCACTTTGATCTTACGGGTTGTGGGGGTTTTGATACCCGATGGCTATAAAAACAACAATAATAGATGTCACCAAACGGTTAAAAACAGTTACACATCAAGCACAGATTGAAACGGCGTCGTCACTTTAATAAGACGGTTCTGAGATGTCACAAACAGTCGTTATTTGTCATTTGTTTTGAATTGAAGACAATGAGTAAAAGCAGAATTCTTATTTTAGGAATATCAGAAGTAAATTGACTTCCTTTAAATTATTTATTGATAAATTGTATACAACCCTACGTATCATTAGTGAGTGATTAACTAAATCAAATTAAGAGTTTCGGTGATCTACGGAAGCCTTCTAGGGCCATTTATATATATATATATATTTTTTTTTCGATACTATCTTGAAATTTCAACTTAGTATCTTGAAATTTCAACTTCTATATCTTGAAATTTCAACTTAGTATCTTGAAATTTCAACTTCTATATCTTGAAATTTCACTTTAGTGTCTTGAAATTTCAAGATAGTATCGAAAAAAACCAAATGGCCCTAAAAGGCTTCCGTAGTGATCCCACCAATACCACCAGCAGAATTTTACGCAAAGCACAAATCCAGCACGCACAAATGTATGGTATGGGCGAGGAAAAAAATAAGCTGTGTTCCGAGAGACACACAATAATATTATATTGTACCAAATTCTTGACAAGAAATACAAAGGCCCTGAAATTAAAGTCAATACCAAAACGTACAGTACAGTACACTGCACCATTACGTTATTTTACAGGACCGTCGTATTCCCTGTAAGAACCATTGACAATAATCAGTGGAGGCCCCTTGGAGCCCCCAGTTATGTGCGTGAAGGTAAACACCTTGAAAGGGAACAACATATTAATAATAATGATCATAATATTTTAATAAAAAAGTGAAAGTACCCAACCTTAGTAAAGTAACATGAATCAACTACTACATGCATGTAAGATTATTTTACACATTCGACATCTTGAATAATGTACTTTTACCTATGAATTATTTCAGGAAAACTTACAGATGATTCACATCAGCAAAGAGGAAGTCCACTTACCTCCTAGAAAAGTTAGAAACACAATTTGCACCGGGAAATAATTCATCCTTCTTAACCTATTTTATCAGATTCCAGCAGAATATCACCAGATCCAGCAACAGTAAACGCCAATATGGAAGGTACTGATCAAAGCGTATTTGTATATCTGTCGCCATGGCGACGAGTTGGGCTCTAAAGATAAATATCGATATTTGTAGAACAATGGACGATGATAGGTCGCTGTTGCTGTGGTAGACAGACCCACTGCGGGATCATCGGTGCCAAAGTTCAAATGCTATACAACGATCTCATTAACCTAATACCAAATCACAGGGGAAACGAGAAATAGGTTAAGCTTTAATCCTTCACGGCTGAACATTCAGTCCTAAGGCATTCATTATGAGACATACGTATATAAACTATCAATGGAGTTGTAGGGCTCCAGAGGCATTCATTATCAGACATACGTATATATACTAGCAATGGAGTTGTAGGGCTCCAGAGGCATTCATTATCAAACATACGTATATATACTATCAATGGAGTTGTAGGGCTCCAGAGGCATTCATTATCAGACATACGTATATATACTATCAATGGAGTTGTAGGGCTCCAGAGGCATTCATTATAAGACATACGTATATATACTATCAATGGAGTTGTAGGGCTCCAGAGGCATTCATTATAAGACATACGTATATATACTATCATTGGAGTTGTAGGGCTCCAGAGGCATTCATTATCAGACATACGTATATATACTATCAATGGAGTTGTAGGATTCCAGAGGCATTCATTATAAGACATACGTATATATACTATCAATGGAGTTGTAGGGCTCCAGAGGCATTCATTATAAGACATACGTATATATACTATCAATGGAGTTGTAGGGCTCCAGAGGCATTCATTATAAGACATACGTATATATACTATCATTGGAGTTGTAGGGCTCCAGAGGCATTCATTATCAGACATACGTATATATACTATCAATGGAGTTGTAGGATTCCAGAGGCATTCATTATAAGACATACGTATATATACTATCAATGGAGTTGTAGGGCTCCAGAGGCATTCATTATAAGACATACGTATATATACTATCAATGGAGTTGTAGGGCTCCAGAGGCATTCATTATCAGACATACGTATATATACTATCAATGGAGTTGTAGGGCTCCAGAGGCATTCATTATAAGACATACGTATATATACTATCAATGGAGTTGTAGGGCTCCAGAGGCATTCATTATAAGACATACGTATATATACTATCAATTGAGTTGTAGGGCTCCAGAGGCATTCATTATCAGACATACGTATATATACTATCAATGGAGTTGTAGGGTTCCAGAGGCATTCATTATCAGACATACGTATATATACTATCAATGGAGTTGTAGGGCTCCAGAGGCATTCATTATAAGACATACGTATATATACTATCAATGGAGTTGTAGGGCTCCAGAGGCATTCATTATAAGACATACGTATATATACTAGCAATGGAGTTGTAGGGCTCCAGAGGCATTCATTATCAAACATACGTATATATACTATCAATGGAGTTGTAGGGCTCCAGCGGCATTCATTATCAGACATACGTATATATACTATCAATTGAGTTGTAGGGCTCCAGAGGCATTCATTATCAGACATACGTATATATACTATCAATGGAGTTGTAGGGCTCCAGAGGCATTCATTATAAGACATACGTATATATACTATCAATGGAGTTGTAGGGCTCCAGAGGCATTCATTATCAAACATACGTATATATACTATCAATGGAGTTGTAGGGTTCCAGAGGCATTCATTATCAGACATACGTATATATACTATCAATGGAGTTGTAGGGCTCCAGAGGCATTCATTATCAGACATACGTATATATACTATCAATGGAGTTGTAGGATTCCAGAGGCATTCATTATAAGACATACGTATATATACTATCAATGGAGTTGTAGGGCTCCAGAGGCATTCATTATCAAACATACGTATATATACTATCAATGGAGTTGTAGGATTCCAGAGGCATTCATTATAAGACATACGTATATATACTATCAATGGAGTTGTAGGGCTCCAGAGGCATTCATTATCAAACATACGTATATATACTATCAATGGAGTTGTAGGGTTCCAGAGGCATTCATTATAAGACATACGTATATATACTATCAATGGAGTTGTAGGGCTCCAGAGGCATTCATTATAAGACATACGTATATATACTATCAATGGAGTTGTAGGGCTCCAGAGGCATTCATTATAACACATAAGTATATAAACTATCAATGGAGTTGTAGGGCTCCAGAGGCATTCATTATCAGACATACGTATATATACTATCAATGGAGTTGTAGGGTTCCAGAGGCATTCATTATAAGACATACGTATATATACTATCAATGGAGTTGTAGGGTTCCAGAGGCATTCATTATCAGACATACGTATATATACTATCAATGGAGTTGTAGGGCTCCAGAGGCATTCATTATCAGACATACGTATATATACTATCAATGGAGTTGTAGGGCTCCAGAGGCATTCATTATCAGACATACGTATATATACTATCAATGGAGTTGTAGGGTTCCAGAGGCATTCATTATCAGACATACGTATATATACTATCAATGGAGTTGTAGGGTTCCAGAGGCATTCATTATCAGACATACGTATATATACTATCAATTGAGTTGTAGGATTCCAGAGGCATTCATTATAAGACATACGTATATATACTATCAATGGAGTTGTAGGGTTCCAGAGGCATTCATTATAAGACATACGTATATATACTATCAATGGAGTTGTAGGGTTCCAGAGGCATTCATTATCAGACATACGTATATATACTATCAATGGAGTTGTAGGATTCCAGAGGCATTCATTATAAGACATACGTATATATACTATCAATGGAGTTGTAGGGTTCCAGAGGCATTCATTATAAGACATACGTATATATACTATCAATGGAGTTGTAGGGTTCCAGAGGCATTCATTATAAGACATACGTATATATACTATCAATGGAGTTGTAGGGCTCCAGAGGCATTCATTATAAGACATACGTATATAAACTATCAATGGAGTTGTAGGGCTCCAGAGGCATTCATTATCAGACATACGTATATATACTATCAATTGAGTTGTAGGATTCCAGAGGCATTCATTATCAGACATACGTATATATACTATCAATGGAGTTGTAGGGCTCCAGAGGCATTCATTATCAGACATACGTATATATACTATCAATGGAGTTGTAGGGCTCCAGAGGCATTCATTATCAGACATACGTATATATACTATCAATGGAGTTGTAGGGTTCCAGAGGCATTCATTATCAGACATACGTATATATACTATCAATGGAGTTGTAGGGCTCCAGAGGCATTCATTATCAGACATACGTATATATACTATCAATGGAGTTGTAGGATTCCAGAGGCATTCATTATCAGACATACGTATATATACTATCAATGGAGTTGTAGGGTTCCAGAGGCATTCATTATCAGACATACGTATATATACTATCAATGGAGTTGTAGGGTTCCAGAGGCATTCATTATCAGACATACGTATATATACTATCAATTATAATTGAATAATTGAATCTACAAACTTCCAAACAAAACAAAAACCCTTGAGAAAATATTATCATAAGCGAGGCGTCAGAAATATAGTGGTGTACTTGGGGACCGCATTGCTGAGAAATCAAAAGTATTGTTTTCTTCCATAATCTTTTCGAAGCCCGGAGGCGATATTTGAGCGACTATGTGTACGAAACAGGCAACTGAAAGAGCTCATGCACTAAAGGCGATCATTGAGATAGGGTCATTTATGTCCCGAGATCACAGCTCAAGACAGAAAGCAATGGTCTGAGCCAGACTCGTTTACACGCTGCCTTGTTACCGAAACATTGCTGACTGCAGCGTTAAACGTTCACTCCTGCTATTCAACTTGCAATGAACAGTTTTATTGCATAGGACTCCTTGAATTTTATAGTTTGCCAGTCAGTTTCATAACAATCCATCTAGCGTGTTTTTGAAAATATTTGGTTTGTTCAAGTGAGAAAAATGTTTCATCACAAATCTTTTGCCCTAATCGTTTCGGCAGGTTGAAAACAATGGTTATTAGCTTCAAACACCACGTTAACTATATAATTACATATTGACATGTTTTTCACAAAAACAAACCCGTGGCTGCAAATTGGTGTTTTTATTTCCAATGTGTAACAAAATTATTATCCAACTCATTTTCTGGTTAACGCATTCTTAGTCTATGTTATATTTGTTCATATAATAATGTGGCAGACCGAATTTTTGATAATATTTAATGAGAGTAAGAGCTATGTTAGAAACACTCGTAAAATCCCTGAATACAATTAAGTACATGTGGGAGATGAGAATTTGAGCCAACTACCAGCGTTGAGTTTGGATTAATGTTTTTTGTTGTTGTAATTCTGAGCCTTTTATGCACTGAAAACCTAAAATATATACATAAAGGTTCCGTCTTTACAAGGGGACGGACTTTGGTATTCTGGACTCCGACACCAAACTCCTGTCCCTGATAAAAAGATGTCCTGGCACCGGCGCATTACTGGTAAACGTGCCCTTCGGCACATTATTTCTGGAGAGGACCAATTAGAACTACTTCGCGTTCATTTACTAAGTAATGTTGTAACCTTTCGATCTGGCCCGACAATAGACTAACATATAGTCTCTGAAATGAACATATCGTACAGAAAAAAAACAGTTGTTCAGTTATCTTAATAAAAATCTAATGAAAAGGGAGCCCAGTGATTCCCTTCATTTTCAGATGTCACTAAGTCTCCAATATAATCCCACATGTTGTCTGGCCAGAGTGAGTTGGCAGGGCCAGAGCGGGAGGTCTTGTCTCAGTGTGGGGTCTTGGGGAGTGGTGTGTGTGTGTGTGTGTGTGTGTGTGTGTGTGGTGGGGGGGGGGGGGGGGGTGGGGGGGGGGGGTGGGGGGTGGGGGGGTGGGGGGGTGGTGGGGGGGGGGGGGTGAGGCTCGCCACATGCTAATACTAAACACTAATGACAGCTAGAGATTTACTGATAATTACAAGCTCTGTGCTCGCTTGTGAATTCAGCAGATTTGTACAGACCCTGATACTGCAGTAATCTAGA